TATAGGTGATTTTGGTAAACAATGGTTTTCTGTTGAGGTATGATTGTCTTGAATAAGTTTCTAGTTCAGCTACTCTGGTGAAGGAAAAGATTTTTTGCTTCCTTCTTATAGAACAGCAAGGTTTTGTTGCAGAAGATTGACCAAGCACTTATGAACCTCAAATAAAGTATTTTTTGGAAAAATATGGAGTTTCCTTCTCCTGAGTAGCATGTTGAAACAGGGTATATATATATATTGGCATAGTTATAAAATGTGAGGGGATTTTTTGGTATGTTGAAAATGGAAGCGGATTTGCGGAGTTAATTCTAGGAGGTCACTCTTTTGAATTCTAATTTATGCTTTGTTTTTATTTTATTTTTTTCTATTGAGGAGTAGGAGAAAGAGTAAATTATGATGTGAATGTCATGACTTTCAATATTTTACTAGAGTTATTGATGTTTTTAATGCAATTGGGAGTCATTTCTTTAAATTTATTTGTAAAATATGATTAAGTGAATGATTATACATGAAAATAATAGACATAGAAATATAATTAAAAATTAATAGACCAATTCTATTATTATTTATAGGTTTTATACATATGTGGAGGCTCAATTTATAAACCCAAAAGTGAAAATTTTGAAGCATAAGTACAAGAAATAAATTGGAAAAAAAATTATGCACATGTCACATGTCATGCCCACTACAACAAAAATGTATTTTGCTGCAACAAAATGCAAATTTTAGTAAAGCATATAGCTCTAATCCTCAATGAATTTTGAAGGTTTTGGGACCTTATTTTCAACCATTATTCACTTCTAGTAATTACAGAACATTCAGGTTGAGGAAAAAGAATTGAAGAAGGGTTAGAGAAACTTGAATTTAATGGAAAATCAAGAGTTTAGATCACGATTGCTCTAATTAAGCATTCCTTCTCCTTCTTCTCTTTATTTTGATGTATATGTTGATGATATTTGCTATCATTAGAGCTATGAGTTGCTGATTTTTCTTTTAATCTAAGGTATTCATGAACTAATTCTTGGATTGGAGCATGTTTGAATCATTTATTTAAACTTAATATTAATTTTGTTTACTTAATCTTGTGCTTATTTGTCTGCTCAATGCTTGGCCATCATTGAGTATGAATTTAGAGATTTGGGTTTTGCCTTGAAAAATGAAAACCAAAATTAAACCATTAGATTAAATAATGTGAGATTAAAACTTATTCTAATTTGTCAATAGGATAGAAATATACCTATTAGACCTATATAATCATATTAGAGTGAGTTTATACTTTGTTTTGCCTTTTGAGTATTTGTATTAGGAATAACATATTTAATTCAACATATGGGTGTAATTAATTGAAAGATAATTATTCCTATTAATACTCCAAATTAACAAATTAATATTAAGTGAATTTATTTGGATAATTACATTCTTTATGAATTGAAGGGATTAATCACCTTAGATTGCCTTGATTATTTGTGGTTATTAAAACTTCTATTTTAGTGCTTTTATACAACTTCAATTTTTATTTTACGAAATCAAATCCAAATTTTGTTTTGCTCAATTTAAATGATAGTGGAAACTTTATTGTCTAGTTAATATTTTGTTTGATTTCTTGTGAGATCAACACACCAACATATTGCATATTGACTTATATACTTGTGGTAAAATATTTTTTTGTGCATCAAAATGGCAGCTATCAATACATACAAGTTACCACCAAAAAGCCTCTTTATTTGAGGACTTATCACTTGATCTTATAGGCTGTTAAGGGTGAAAATAGGTTAGGCTAAGTTAGGCATTGGTCAAATAGGCCTGAGCCTGTATAATAAATTAGATGTGTATGCCTGGCCTAAAACCTGTATAAGAATTTTTTTATGGCTTAGGCTTGAAAGCCTATTTAAAGTAAGCCTTATAAATAGGCTTTTATTTTAGTTTTAAACATCTCAAATATACTTTAGGACTATTATAATATATAATATATAATACATAACCTAATTTATCAATTACAATATATAATAATTGAAAGGACTTACCAACTGCAAAATAAATAATAATAAATTAACAACATTAAGTTTAATATATAAGTCTAATATGATTGAAAATATTACTGAAAATAAACAAAAGAATAGATTGATTAAAAATTAAATAGTGAAACTAATGAGTTTGTGATATATTACATAATATATATATATATATATATATATTATAAATAGGTAAGCATGTTAAGCTCGTAGGTTAAGCCTTGAAAAAATAGGCCTCACTTGTTTAATTAATTAGGCTTAGTTAAAACTCTAAACCTAGCCTGAGCCTATTTAATAAGTAGGTTAAGTTATATTTGAAGTAGGTCAGAGTTTAGGCCTTAGTTAAGAGCTTGGCCTATTACCACCCTTATAAGCTAGAACTTTATGTGAAAGCTTTTCCTTTTTTAATAATAGATATTTTTAAAGTTTATATTCATATTGATAAAAGTAAATACTTACTTCTTAAAATAAAGATTTGAGATCAAAATACTTTATATTTAACTACTATTTTTATTATTTATTTAATAAATGTGGAGACGCTGCACTTTTTTCGATAATAAAGTTAATTGAATCAATGCCTAATACCTTATTCCCTTTATTAGTAATTGGATATCAAACAAATGGAGATATAATCATTTCCAAGTGGAAGAACTCATCACTACATTGGAATTAATTAATAATATAAAGATTGGTATTTCAAGATGAAAGATTCGTTAAATTTCCAGGAGCTTCATTGTTTTGAAATAATTTTATTAATTACAATAATTTTAATTTTCCTTCATTTTAATAAAATCAACTGATAAACCTTCAAATTACCAACCAGAAAGAACTACTTTTATTCATAAATCTTGTTTTACATTTGTGTCTGTTCTATCTATCTCTTTTAGGGGGGCATTGTAAGCGCAATTATATGATTTAGATGCTTATATTGATGGTTATCCTACTTTGTTAGTTGTTCTGATTAAGTATAATATATGTTCCCCATGCATCACGCTGGGAGAAAATGCTAATTCAGCTCACTAGTAAAAATGTCAATCATATTTATGTCATTAACTTGATATATCATATTTTTGTTAGTTTTTTGACATTAAGAGAGTGTAGTTACCAAGTAGACATTGCTTGGGATCAGAGACTACTTTGAAGATGTTGATTTGAGTCTATTTAGTTTTGACTTCAACAAATGCATGATACCATAGAGTTAACAAAAACAAAGAAATTTTGATGGGGGAGGGATGCAAGGTGCAAAGAGGCAACGGGTTTACATACTGTGTGTTCAATAGCTCCATTTCAAGTTTACATTTGTTGTAGGAATGGAAAGCTGATTTGGAATTAAAACTTGAAATGATGATATTGATTTGATTCAGACATAAGATCTATGTTGTAAATTGAGGGTGAAAGCTTAATTCAATGGTTAATAGTATTTTATTTACATGGTTGCATATGATAATTTTAAACGTTTCAATACAGATAGCAAGTTTGCATTATTATTTTTGATTCAATTTGTTTGTTTGATTTTTATTTTTTATTGTGTTTTAGCCTCATGATACATGTGTTACTTTTATGGAAGATATAATGCCTTAATAACTCTAATGTTAAGCGGCTTGATCTTTATATTCTGATTTATGCCATCAACCTTTTAAAATTTTCATGTAAGTTATAAAGTTGTATCAAGTTAAATTTATTATATGATTATGTTTAAATTTATATATAAGAAAAAAAATAATCCATGCATTGTATGGAACCAAAACTGATTTATTTATAACTTGTTAAATACACATGACTATTTATTAATGAATGAAAGCACAGTTATTGAAACAGGTTCTATATTTATCCTTTTCTACAATCATAAGTCATCACCTGATTGATGTTTCCACTCCATTTGTAATCAAGGATTTCCTTTACATGGATAAAATAAACATGAGGGTAGAGCAAAGAAAGAATACACGGAACTCCAGATTATTATCAGCTTTTAAAAAAGAAAAATTTGAAAAGATAAGGAAAGAAGAGAGATTCTTTTCTAAAGTTAAAATAATAGCACACAATAAGCACTTGGCTTTGAGTCACTAGCTCTATGAATAGTAAAATAAGCGTAAAATTATTTTGAGATATATTTTTTTATGTGACTTGAGTTATTTTGTTATATAAAATATGCTCCATTCAAAATACAATATAACTTATTATTAACCAATTTATTTTTAAAAAAATTGATTAAAATCTTATTTTTTTTTACATTTTTCACATTTCAATCATATCTCAACTAAAATAAATATCATAATTAATTTATTCAAAACACTCTGTTTTTGGAAAAAGTAAGGTATATACTACCTTCGTTCAAAAATGTAAAGCATTTTTTTGAAGAGTTGGATGTTCAAAAATATAAAATATTTTTTATTTTTTTAAGATGTAATCATTGCCTTTTTTTCAAAAGTGCTCTTATTGATGAATGATTTTATATTTATTGTAAGGTATTTAATAAAAATAAATATAAAAAAATATGATTAGTTTTAAAAGTAAGTAACTATTTTATTGAGAGGTGAGTTTCATTTAAAAATACTTTATATTTTTAAATAAAAAAAGTAAAAAATTATGAAATGCCCATTTGGATAAATACATCATTATTCATCTCACTTGAGCTATATCATGGAGGAAGTAAGGCATATAGGAAATGCCCTTTGGATGAATATTGATTGAAAAAAATGATAAAGTGGTATTAAAAGAATTAATTAATTTAATTTAAATTCTAAATTAAAAATTTCATAAATTTACAAATTTAATTTTTAATTTTATTGTAATGATTTTAACATAAATTATAAATTTATTATAATAAAAATATAAAATATAAAATTAAATTTATAAATTTTTTGAATTTGACAGTTAAGCGTATGTCGAATTAATCCGCCGGCTCAACCTATCTCTCATTTTCCCGTATTGATTGCCACTTTACCAGCCTCACTAGGTCGTTGAAGTCACTCCCATCACCCCCCCCCCCCGCCCCATTTGATGCGAATGAGTGAATCCAATCGTCTAACCCGCCGCTGCCTGCTCCGAAACTCGCCGCATCGTGCTCACTCAAGCTCGCTGAAGCTCAGCCTGCTTCTCCGTCGTTAACCCATCCACCGTCGCCGTTCTTTACTCCTCCGACGGCAACCAAAAATCTATTAATCTCCATCACTGTTTGCTCGACACCTCTTTGCTGTTTCCCATTTTACTCTTATTCGCCGTCGGTCCTCGTCCTCTCCTAGATCATTAATTCAGAGCCACCTGCTCTATCTCCATTGCCGCTTGTGTTCCTCCATTTTTGCCCCGAGAAGAGAGGTAATGATCCATCCTATTTTCAGGCTTCAAATAATCGCTATCTTGATTGCTTATCGAGAAAAATCAATGCTTCAAATCATCGCTATCGTGTTTGCATGTCTTAACGTCTTACGATTTTAATTTAATTATTTGGAACACTGATTTTAAAATCAATGCTGCGGTAGCATCAATTCATGTTTGCTTGTCTCGTAAAGAAAAATCTAGCGTGCTCAGGAGTATCCCTGGAAAAGGCTCTTGGCTGTTCCGCTTTGTAAAAATATTTTTAGGGAGTTACCTCATTTACATTACAAAAACTGATCCGCGTGGCTAATAATTTGTAGATGAATAATAGATTAGTTTGATGAATAGATACTGGATTTTAATTTACGAGGACCTAGAGGAATATATAGCTAACTGAGTTATCAAACTCTGATTTTAATTTATGTCTTGATTTTAATTGACATCTATTCATTTTATGAGCATATAGCTCTGCACAACTGATTTTCCCCAATCCTCATAGTTTGATGAGCACTATTGCACTGATTTTAATCTATATCTCATCCATTCATCTTTTCTTTTCTTTTTAATTAATATGTTCTGTATTTTAATTTATGATATTAGATAGCACAAGTTCTTGTACAAGTTCTGAGCAGGAGGAGATTATATTTAAGCCTTCATTGGTGTTGTATTCATTAGATGCTGACATGCTGTTGTTATATTGTTGTATTGTTCAATTTCCATTTGATGCTACTTTGGCTGTGGTGTATTGTTGTGCTGTATTTTTTTTTTTTTTATAGATTATTGTCAGTGGAATCATTGTCTGGAATTTAGATCTCACTCTTTAGAACAATTTTTATTCGGACTTATTAAATTGTTATACAAATCAGGTTTTAATTAATAACGTGTAGCCTTTAATAGGAATTGAGCCTATTTAAAGTAGGCTTTGGTTTGGAGGTTCAAGCCTACTTAAAGCCATCAAGGCCTATTCCCTTATGCCTTTTAAAGTCCTACATATTAATGAGTAGGCCCTTTTCTTTAAAAAGACTTCAAGCCATGCCAGGCCTACTGCAGGTTGGTGCAGTGTTATATGTGCGCACTTTGTCATAATTTTATTTTTCATGTAAAGAAATATAAGTAATGAGAAAACCTGTAATTTTTTTTTTTTTGCAACTTAGCCACTCTTCTAGTTGTAAAAAAAGTTGTGTTACCATGCTTTGAAAAAGTTAGGGCAAACTACTCGTGAAATGCCTGAATTAGCCACAGTAAAAATCCAAGCATGATAACAAGGAGTTAGCTGAAGTTTAACCTTCGCTAACCAGTTGCTGTGTGAATAATTGACTTGTGCAGATAACTCTTCGTCATGGCTATTGTATTTTCATATACAAAAATTTGGCATCCTACTTTTGGATGAATTTTCATGTATGATGTATTTTATAGTACCTTTGTTAAATTATGCTCTTGTCTTGATTAAATTAGTTCTTTTTTTCAGATTGAAGTAATATTATCCAATTGTGACATGATCTTGAAAAGTTAATTACTTGAGTAAATTATATGCATTACCATACATGCATTTCCTGTTGTTTTCCGTAGAAAAGTGCTTTTAAACTGAGAGGCTGCACCTGAAGAAACTTTGACTACTTATTGTTCTTGGGCCCTTTTCCTTGGAATTGTTAACTGTTCTGTTAATTCATTATTCATGTCATGGCATAATGTTGTCCCACCTTGTGCTTGAAACACCAGAAGAAAGAGGGCCAATAACACTAGGGATTTTGCATTTCTTTGTTTGCTATGTATATACACCTGTTTCCTTGATAATTCTCTGATTGTTCAATTTTAGATGAAGTGATGCTTCTATTTCTTTCACTTTTCAGACTCATCTCTTATTTATCCAACTAATATTTCAGAATTTGATCTACGGCAATTTCCTTATCTTTTCCTCATTTTGATCGACTATGAGCATAACGTGTCTCTTTTTCCCCCCCAGGGGGGGGGTGGTTTGGTTGGGGAGGGAAGACAGGTATCAAATTAGAAAAGAACAGGGTAGGGTAGAGCAGGGTGCACCAGTAGCAAGTGGTGAACAACCCATTCTTTCTCACCCTTGCCATTCCTAGTTTGAAATCCTGGTTGTTTTGTATAATTAGGTACCTCTGCAAATTGTTTTTGGATGTTAGTCTTTGAATTGGGAGTTGGGTGTGACTGTGAATTTCTTTTACTTTTACTTGGGTATGTTTATGTCTTTCAACTTGGCTATTGGGTTGGCCTTTTTGTGTGTTTTCATAGTTGCTCTTTGTAGATTTTCAATGTTTGGTTATAATTCTTGTTTGGAATTTGTGTGGCTTGTTGCCAGAATTTTTGTTATATGTGTGATGGATAATTAAGCCTTCTTTGCTAGGCTACCATTGCTATAAAGACATCCTGAGGGGAATAGCAAGGAAAAGGAAGGGGAAGAAGAAATGGGAGAAATGTCTAGAAATAAGAGAGAGAGGGAGAGAGAGAGAGAGAGAGAGGAAGTTGGGAGAGAAGCACAATATAATGGTTTGGTATTTTAAATGTCAAACCTACTTACTTGTGCTACCTTGGGGCTGTATTTATATGATGTAAGAGTTATAATAAAAGAACATAAAAATTAATCTAGTAAATAAGAGATGTATAAGCTAAAAGTAAATTAAAGGAAGTCCTCAATATAAACTCATTGTTTTAAACTCTGCCATGGACCAAATATAAAAAATATCCAAACTAGCTTGGACAATCTTGAGCAAGGGCATTAGGTTGATAGAGAATTGGTGGAGAGTAACTTCAAAGAAATTATGAGCGTCGTTCATCTGGTAAAAAAAAAAAAAATATATTAGTTTAAAACGTGGAAGGTCTGGCTGGGAATTGTAAAGACCAAGGTGGGGATAAAATTGAAGGGATTCCTAGAATGTAAAATATTTCAGTCCATAATCAGCCAATGATTCCACCCACAGGTGCCATTGGAAATCATATGTTGTTTGTAGGTCCTAGTGTTGGGAATGCCAGAGTACTTCCTTGTAGACCTTATGCTACATCGTGAAATTTTAGAAGACCTTTGGGATGATCACAATTCTGTATGACATCACCATAGGCAGCGTGAGCAGGATTATTAAGATGTGACTGCAATGACTCAAGTTACATCATTAAGATCCTAAGGCCTTCTCAGATAAATTAGTTTGCATGGAGGATTATTTTTAGTGGTCTGACATGAGTGACATCCACTGTGTCCACTTTGCTCAAATATAAAAATGAAGCTTGTGGCATCTGCTATAAAATATTGGCGAATTATTCATTTACTTTGAGCACATCTTGTCTTGGACTTTTGAGAACATGTTCATTTGGCCATTATTTCTTTCTATTGCATTAAGCAGCATTTGCTATTGCTTCTTTTTTGTTTTTTTAAATTATATATGTTCAGTTCACGATGGAAGTTAATATTCAATGGTCAATACCTGAGGCAAGTTATTTTTTGTTAGCTTGCAAAGAGAGAAGAAAAAGAAATCCGATCTTGTTTTTAATTATTTGTTTTCTTTTTTGTTGTCAAGTTCTAAAATCTCCTGGTCCAGCCAATGTATTAGATGCATATTGCAAATCTATAGTATAAACTTTTAGTGAACTCGAGTTTGCTATATTAGAGAACATTATGCATCTTGGTGTAAAAATTTCATTATGAAGCGTTTGGTTTAAAACTCAAATGTATTGGATGTATTTTGTTAGATTGGAATGTTGAATGTGAATTTCACTGGACTTGTTTTATGCTGCTTTTCTATTCTTCAGTCATAAGTAATTATTAACTTGAATAATCTAGGCTAGAGAAAAAGGATTAAAGCCCAGATGCGTTGATGTATCAATCAATTGCGGAATTAATCAGACCCAAATTGGTAATTGTATTATTCCTGAGTTAGATGATAGCTTGAGCACAAGGCGAGCAGGAAGCAAAATAATTTGTCTGATAAAATATATGACTATTCCCCATGCGCCATTTTAGAAGGATATCTTTCCATGTTATTTTATTTTTTGACATTTTGCCAAAGTTATGGCCTTCATATTTAGTCTGGTAAGCACAACCTTCTATGAACTAACCATACTTGTTCCATATAATATTCTTTTGTTTCTTCAGTCCTCTATTTTATTTTTTACTTCCAGAAGTTCTTCCTTCTATAGCTTAATTTCAAAATATTTTTAGGTTTTGATTTACAAGTCCAAGTTTCGTAATAATTTCTCAATTCTCATAATGACTCACTGACCCAGAAAGGCAGTGCAATCCGAACAAATCAAGGTATTTAGAGAGTTGAAAGAAGCTTGAGGGTTGCAAACAGTTTTTATTGCAGCTCATCCATGGAGTTGGAGCAAACCAAGCAAGCTTGCCATCCATCTCAAGAACCTAACCCTTGCAGGCCAAAACCTACACCAAAGCGCTTTATTAAAAGCCAAATCCCAGATTCAATCTTGAATGACTCAGCTCTCAATGCTGCCATATCACTTCTCCCCTCAAACTATAATTTTGAGGTGCACAAATGTGTTTGGCGTGTGAAGTCAACTGGAGCAAAGCAAATTGCCCTACAATTTCCTGAGGGCCTTCTCATGTACTCCCTTGTCCTCTCTGATATCTTTACTACTTTTGCGAGTGTCTCTCAATGCTTTATTCTTGGCGATGTCACCTATGGAGCTTGTTGTGTAGATGACTTGTCTGCTAAAGCACTTGGTGCCGATCTCTTGATACATTATGGTCACAGCTGCCTTGTACCCATTGATTCCACTACAATTCCCTGCCTATACGTTTTTGTTGATATTAAAATCCATGTTGATCACATGATTGATACTATCAGACTAAATCTTCAATCTAGTGTCAAAAACCTTGTCCTTGCCAGTACAATACAGTTTGCCTCAGCAATCCGGGTAGCAAAACCTGAGTTAGAGAAATATGGGTTTAAGGTTTTGATTCCACAGTCCAAGCCACTGTCAGCTGGTGAGGTTCTTGGCTGCACAGCCCCCAAGGTTTCATCAAACTCATTTGGTGGCGAGAGTGAATCTGTAGGAGTGTTTGTAGCTGATGGAAGATTTCACCTCGAAGCATTTATGATAGCAAATCCCAGAATTAAGACTTTCAGATATGACCCATATTTGGGGAAATTGTTTCTAGAGGAATATGATCACTTGGGCATGAAACAATCAAGGAAGAGTGCAATTGCAAAATCAAGGCAGGCTCAGAATTGGGGTGTAGTTATGGGAACTTTAGGTCGACAAGGCAATCCAAAGATTTTGGAGAGATTGGAAAAGAAGTTGAAGGAGAAGGGCTTCAATTATACTGTAATTTTGATGTCAGAGTTAAGTCCAGCTAGAATCTCTCTGTTTGAAGACTCTGTGGATGCATGGATTCAGATTGCTTGTCCTCGATTATCGATCGACTGGGGAGATGCTTTTGCGAAACCAGTTTTGACTCCTTTTGAGGCAGAAATTGCACTAGGAATTATACCAGGTTGGTGGGAGAGAACTGTGGTGAAAAATCATGGTTGTGAAAATGATTCATCATGCAGTGACTGTAACTGTGTAGATGCAAATGAAGATTTTGGTGGAGAATATCCAATGGATTATTATGCCCAAGATGGTGGGGAATGGAATTCCTCTTATTTGAAAAAGTCCCCTCGTCCTACAAGAAGAATTATTTCTGTTAGGTCTAATTCTTGACAGTCTCTAATTTGCTAAATTCCACTGATTTTGTTTCCACTTAGCAGTGTTGTTTGGCTATTAATTTGCTATCAAATTTGCCAAAGTTAGTTGTATCTTTATGAGAAAGCTATGCATATGTAAAGAGAAGCTTTTACAAAACGTTGTTCACTATTTCGATGGATATAAACGTGATGAAATTGATTCAAGACAAGGAGGACCTATAGACTTGAAAAAAAAAAAAAACGTGTGAAAATGTACTGGTCCTTGGAGACAGACGAGCATGAGTTTGGTTTTAGGCCTATGCAAATAATTTAAATTCTTAATTAGATTGGCTTTTAATAACCAAGGCCTGGTTTGATTCACTGAAAGCATTTTGATAGAAAAGGATATGGAAAAGGAAATGGAAATAGGGTTAAAATTACATTTGGTATGATAGAAAAAGAATTGGGTAGAATTTAAAATGTAATTTTTGCTTGCTATACATGAATTAAGCTTAAAAAAGAAACAAAAAACAGTAAGATCTCCATTGTGTCCCTTATTTGTTCTTCTTTCATTCTTTAAACTTCATCTTTTGCTATTCACAGGAGAATCCAAAAACCAATATGAATTTATAAATCTAAAATCAATCAAATGAAAATTGTGGAAGACGAATATAGAATTCAGTACATAAAAATAAATAAATAAATAAATAGAGCAATAAAGCCATAGCATGTGTTAGAATATCCAAAAATGATTTTTCCGCTCCTATTTTTCCATTGTTTTGTTTTCCCTATGTCATTCCATGCTTCATATATTTCAAAAATACTTTTAATTTGAACTCAAACTAAAATTTTGAAGAGTTTTTGGATTCTCAAATGTTTTCAAGATTTTATAAGTATATAGCCCTTCTTAATTAAGATAATTTATGAGGAACTTAATGACTCCTATTTATCATAGTGTGTTATATTTTATAGTGATTATTGGTAATGTCAAAGTGAATATTACATAATATATAATTGAGATGACAATGCAAGTTAATACTCCTATGAAAATAGCGAACATTAATTTTAAATTAGAAAAACAAAAGGGGCATAATGCATAATACCATATAAACACAAGATCATAAAGCAATGAGAATACAAATTTTCCTTAAACGAAGGTTGTCTAGCAAAAAAAGATAGAAGATTTAAAATTAGCTCAAAGTGCATCAATCGAGAAAAAACAAACTAACCAATAAGATTGAAAATCCATAAGATTTGTATGGTATAGTTGATAATATAATAATGATAATTAATAATTAATTGTTTGATAGTTGATAGTTGATTATAATAATTGATAACCAATGCAAATGATAATCAAAATTAAATATTTTTAACTAAATGCCACGAGCTGATTATAAAAAATTAATGGCTTTTTTAGTTCAATGAACAATTAGTGATCAACCTACTCATATTCATATGTTACTTTTTTCATTCACGTCTAAAAGGACCTATGCTTCAGGTATAAGTTAAAAAAAATATTTAAAAAAGATTTTAACCAGAGATTAAAGAATAAAATTAATTGTAATAAATTATTATAAAATCTGGTATCCATTAAAAAAGTAACCAATTAATTAATATTAATAATTAACATTAATTAATAATTAACCATCATGGTAAGTTTAATCACAGCGTTTTTATAAAGTAAATTTAAAAAAAAAAACGCTCCAACAATTTCAAAATTTCAATTAACATGGCTTAACACGCAACGTGGGTGAGCCGTTACTCGAATTAATGCAAGTGGGTCCACACCCCAAACAAACTTGGCGAGGAATCCATTCTCGCGAACACACACGACATTCCAACCGTGGAGAGTGGAGACCACCTCGGCTCTCTCCTTGCAAACGCAGGCGCCGCCTCAGTTCCCTTTGAGATACCCGTTCGTTTTCGTCGTCAACCTCAGTGAGTCCTTCCAGCCGACGAAGAAACGTCTTCACTCAAGCTCCATGGACGCAAAGCCCCGCTGTTGTTCAAGACGCAAGTTCGAATATGTCCTTCCGCCTACCTTTATCAGTTGTCTCCGTCGATTCCCTCGCTGTCGTCGTCAAAGACCCATTTTGTCTATTTTCTCGCAGTTCACCCAAAAGCCTTCCTCCCTCTTCATTTGGACTTTCACTCAGAAACCCACTTATCCCACATGCCATTCCTCCTCTTTTTCCATTTGCCACTCACCGTTGGAATATCTGTTCAACCTCAAATGATCTCTAAAACTCATTCACCCTCTCATTCCCTCCACGAGTCCTTTAATGGCCTTCGCTGCTTCTTCTCAGTGAGACCGCCGCCCTCGCCTTTCAAATTTGATGTGGGTGCAGTCATTTGCAATCATGGGTTACAACCAGAAGCAGCTGGCTCTCTTAGCCATGGCCAAGGACTTGGGTGACGATATCGGATTTGTAGCAGGCAAACTCAGTCAGGTTTCGCCCTTCTCTTGAGTTATCATCGTCGTGGCTCTTCAGAATTTCTCTGGTTACTTCCTGCTCTGGCTTGTCATCACCCGAAACATCCTTTCTCTGCACCTCTGGGCGGTAAGTCACTTCACTTTCAAACTCTCTAGTTCGTTTCCTGATATTGGGTATCTTTCCCATAACATTACATGCTGCAGCATCTGTACTAGTTTCAACCTTGCTCTCTCATTCCTTCTCCTTTGTTTTAAGAATATTCAGTGGAATATTCCCCCACTTTATGTAATGCTTCCTCGTTTGCGGAGGTTAAGATGACTGAATCTTTCCTCAGTGTTTTGCAACACTCCTTTCGTCCTCCACTAATAATGGCCAATATAATATATTAGCCTTTAATTGCTTTTTTTTTTAATTTTTTTAAATCTCGTGCTTATCATGCCTTGTCATGTTTCCCTTTAATTACTTTTTAATTCCAATGTCATGACAGGACTCTTCAAAAATCCTAGAGCAAGATCTTTTCTCACGTAATAATCTTGAAAAATGCCAACGGACAGCTTGACTCGGCTTCAAGCGAATGAAAGCAAGCTTTTTCGCATGAATCGCCTTCACTCTCCAGGTTTGTTGATTTCCTCTAACTCTATTGTGGGCTGAGACTTGACGGAAAAGAGAGAATCAAAAAGATATATTTCAATTCCTGAATTTGTTTTTGTAGCATCAAAATTTGTTTATCTGTTTATCTGTGCTACTTTTTTGCATGTTTGCTATTATCCATTGCAACAAATCTTGTGGGTTTGAACTTTGAACATACGCATTGAAGTTGTGGTTAACATTGATCTTCTTTATCTTTAAAACTGACATTTAACAGGAAACTAAAAAAAGAAGGCATCTCTTTTTACCTTATGGTCATCTTTGCAAAACTCTTCTCTAAGGGTTGATACAAGTTGGACTTCCTATGTAAATGATTGTAGTTCTATAGCTCAAATGACATTAAAAGTACAGATTGGATAAATGAACCTTTTGCTTTTAAATATTTGATTTAATTTGATTGAAATATTTTTAATGTCTTAAAATCAATTTTTAATTGTTAAATTAAGCTAAATTAACATAAGTCATTTCAACACAAGCAAAGGAAAAAATGCATACAGACACATGTCTAAAACACATATTTTATTAGAAGGATATATATTTTAAATCTCAAAAGTTAGCATAATCATATGTTTTTTCCTTTTAAATAAATTTTAGTAGGTTATTATGAATTCAATTGATGTAGTATTTGAGTGAAAAATAATGATTGTTGTAATAATCAGTGTACATGAGTCTTTCCAATATTATTTCCTTTATTATCATCTGCTAATTTGTGTCATGCATGTCAAGATAACCTTTTCCCCTTAGGATAATACACACTAGAGACTTTGTGAAGTATTTCAGTACGTTGCTACTGTTTTTTGCTTGAAAATGAGACTTTGGTTAAGAAGGTGCTAACTAGTTTTGAGGGATGGTTGTTTAAATATTCTGCAGTCGAAGAATAACTTCTTTGACTATGAAGTGACGTACCTTTGTTGGATATTATGGGTAATTTGGAAGCAGCGAAATGATATCAATTTTAACCATGCAGTACCGAATCCAAACCTGGTGATTGAAAAGGCACGAGTGTTGCATAGTGGAGCATGGAACGCTTTGTCCATTGAACAATGTGAATTCCCTTCTCCTATTGACACTTGTGAGTATACTCATCATTGGAAATTCCCACATGATGGTTTCCAAAAAAATTATTGTGATGGGGCTTATACTGGTATGATTAGTAATGCTATTGTTTGTGTTGTTTGTAGGATCATAAGGGCTCCTTTGTTTGGGGGTTTGTTGATTAGATTAAATCTATTTCAGCTTTCATGGCTGAGGCTCTTGCATTAAGAAGAGCTCTCATATTGGCAATTGATCTTGGCAAGAACAAGATTGTATGTGAGACTGACTGTCAACTTTTAGTCTCTTCTGTGTCTCAGTAAATTCCAAATCTATATGACAAGAAGTGTCGTGGTATCATTCAGGGAATTATTGAGCTCTTTGCATCTATGGTTGGGTTTTCTCTGTCATTCACTCCTAGGAGGGGTAACTGTGTAGCTGATCATCTTGTGACTGATGCTTGTAAGGGAGTGCACCCTTTGGGGTGGGTTTTGGAAACATCACTCTCTTTGCTTTCTTTTCTAACTGGTGTTGCAGGATGGCCATTGGTTAATTTTTCTGATGCTTGTTTGTTACGTGTCCTAGTTTTTTTAGTTTGGTATGTTTGCTGTTGTTTTCTTTCCTGGATATTGGCTGCTTTGTTTTCAGTTAATAGAACTATAAACCAATAAGAAAAGGTAAGAAGGTGCTCATTTGGACCCTATGAGTTAATTTTTAATAGTTGTTTTGGTTTTTAGTAATTTGATGTCCAATTATGTTTTGTGACTGTCATGGAGATTTTTTCCTCAAAGTATAGGTGAAAATTCTATTTTGGTAGGAATCTTTTTGGCTATAGATAAGTGTTGATCATTTTGGCTGGCTTGGATTGAATTTTTCTGTTTTGATCCTTCGATTTTGCTAGAAAGTGTGCTTTATTCTTGTTTATGTGAATTGAAAGTGTTGTATTTTTGCTGAAATAATGCTTGTGCATACTACATTGTTGTGGTTCCAACAAATTGCATTGTTTCCGACCATGAACATATCACCTTTGAGAGATCTTTACTTCTCTGACTGCATTATGGCCTAGACAGATATTTGTAGCAAATGAAATGGTCTGATTTCATGAAGGAAGAGACATATTGATGCGATACTCTTTTTGTGGTTGCTGTAGATCATTTTTCATTGTTATTTGCGCATTGTTTGTTCTGGTTTATGGGACAAGAAAAGTTATTAAGATTGACCTTTAAATTGGTATAAACTTGCGTTGTTCTATGTTAAAATCATGAAGGAAAATCTGGATATGTTTTGGAGAGCATGTGGTTTTTTACAAGTATTTTGCTATAGTTTTTCTTGAAAATGAGACTATTAATATTGAAATTTTATGTTGTGATTTAATGGATGCTTTGGTTTAGAAGGAATTAGTATGGATCAAGGTATTAACGTTTAAAAGTTGTTCAAGTATATGTTGTTCAATTATGTAGTATGGTGGGAACTCTTAAGACTATTTGTTGTAGAAAAGTGTTGTACATTGAGGTAGAATTTTAACTATACAGGTGTAGACATGATCATGCTATTTAAAAGTCTTTTACCAGAAAGCATGTTTTATTTTTAACGCAAACTAAATTTTGACGCCCTGACATTGTAGAGTTGATTCTGTTGCTGGAATTAAAATTGATAAAAAAAGTAAGATCATTATTATGAAAGTGCTTGGATATTGAAATGCGTATGCTCTTGTTTTTTTTTTTTTTTATTTGGATGGCATTTAGGAGTAAATGGCCTCACATTAGTACAAACTAGTACAAAAAGGGCATGATATCCGTTGTAAAGTCGGATGTTGAAGATGATTTATAGCTCAAAGTGTATGTTGGAATGTTGTCATATTTAAAGCCATCCTTGATCTATTCTTATCTTTTGGATGCTAAGATTTTTGTTTTTATCAATCATGTGGCACTCAAGTACTTGATGAGGAACTTGGTGTCTTAATTGAGGCCGCATGTGTGCTTGTGTCAAGTATAAAGATGATTGAGGCGTTTCATTTATGTTCTAGTGAAGCCAATAGTAGTGCTAATAATTTATTTCTTTTAAAGTTTCTTTCATTTTCATTTCTTCTTTCTTTTCTACTCCTAAACCAGGCCACCCTTTTCTTCCGTTTATTTTTTATTCAATTTGTATCAGCTTGTTTTTTTATTATGTTATTGAGTAATGAACGTTATTGGCTACTCTTCACTTCATGGTATTTATGCTGCATTTATTAAAGCCTACAGGTAATAATGTTTCAATTGTCTCATGATGCATTTTGTCATCTCCTTAATATGTTCTTCTAAGTGTAGATTATTTTGATTACTTAGCATATATGTTTACCTTATAGTAATTTGCTTACTTGGTTGAATGTTTGTGGTTGTAGGGTGCAATTCTCCGTTGCATGAAGGTGATATGGAGTCTTCTCTCTTCTTCTTTTGAGTAGGCTAGCTTGTGTTTTAAAACACCTCTTTTGTTTCTTTTGCTTAATTAATATTTAGGATTAGTTTGCTTGGTTTATTTTTCCATTAATCTTCATGTTAGTTATTTAGTCAATTATTTATTTGTATATTTATTGATTTATTCCATTTGCTTGTATTTACACATGATTGTGTACTTGTTAACTGAACCTTTACATGAAGCTGCGTTACATCTTTTGATCCATGAATTCTAGCTATAATATTTTTTTTTTTGATTGTGCACAAGTGACCTACTATTCGAGACATTATTATTATTTTGTTTGATCTACATTTTAGTTATATATTAATTATTTCTTCTTTCAATTTGCTATTTAGTTGCATCTATTATTTTTTTGAGACGCATCCCCTCTTCTTGGAGCTTCTACATGTGCCATGCAATTATCATTTGATCTGGCAACATTATTTTTACACCTCAGCCTCTCCTTGATGATCCACCATGATAGGTTTATCTCTTCCATTTCTTACTTTTCATGCCTTTCCATTATGCTTGTTGAATGATGTTGATCAGTGAATAGAGTTGATTGCAAGTATGGGGGAGGTTTTCTAAAAGTTAGATTTTCATGTTTTAGTTTTTATTGTTCTTTGAGAAAAACAATTTTTTTTTCCAGAATTGTTTTTCATAATTTTTAAAAACTTCTACTTTGATTTCCTTGGATTTTTTTTTCCTTAGTTTGGGTTTTCTCATTGAGGACAATGCAATGTTTAAGTGTGGGGGAGGGATCAATAAGAGTGATTTGTTTTGTTTCTTCAAAAAATGTTTTTTTTTTTTTAAACTCCGCCTATGTTTATAGCCGGTCCCAAGCCCGGGTAAAGGAGGAGGGTTGTGTTAGGCCATCAACAGCCAATGTAAAAATTTGTTGAATCTATCATAAACATGGACAATAGACGTTATAATGTTAATGCTAGGTCGTTGCCCGTAAGTAACGTGCTGCATGGCTCGAGTACAGTGATAAGTGAGTTAGAGCCGCTGCATCGGCGCCCGGATGTAGTGTTAAATGAGCAAGAGCTACCGCGTCATTCTGGACGCACGCGGCTAAAGAAGTTAGTCTATAAGAGCAAAATTAGATTTGGTACTTGGAATGTTAGGACATTAAATTGTAAATCTGTAGAGGTTGTAGGGGTTATGATTCAAAGGAAAATCAATATCCTTTGCTTGCAAGAAACAAAATGGCGTGGAGAAGGAGCTAAGGATATTCAAGGTTTCAAACTTTGGTATACAGGAAAAGTAAGTGCACGCAATGGAGTAGGCATCATTATAGATAAGGAGTGGAAGAAGAACGTTGTAGAAGTTAGCAGAATTGGAGACAGAATTATTTCTTTAAAAATGATAATTGGACGTGAGACTGTTAATATTGTTAGCGCTTATGCGCCGCAAGTCGGGACAGAAGCCAGTCTTAAGGAATTATTTTAGGAGGATCTGGAGGGGTTGATTCGACACATACCACAGAGTGAAAAGATTTTTATTGGAGGAGACTTTAATGGGCATGTCGGGAGGGAAGCTGGTCAGTATGCGAGGGTGCATGGTGGTTTTGGTTTTGGAGAGCTAAACAATGAAGGGCAAACTCTTCTTGATTTCTCATTGGCGTATGATTTTAAGATTGCCAACACTTGTTTCAAGAAGAGAGATGAGCATCTCATCACTTACAAAAGTGGAGCCTCAAGGTCGCAGATTGATTTTCTTTTGGTTAGGAACACAGATAGAAAACTTTGTAAAAATTGTAAGGTGATCCCTGGAGATGCTGTAACGACACAACATAGGGTCCTAGTCCTTGATGTGTGTATTATGAGTAAAATCCAAAAATGTCGACAAGTAGTAACACCAAAGATTAGGTGGTGGCAATTAAAAGGTGAGAAGCAAGATATTTTCAAGCGAAATCTTTTGGATAAAGGAATTTGGGATTTTCAGGGAAGTGCTAACATCATATGGGAGGATATGGCTAAAAAGATACGGGAGGTTGCAAAAGTGGTTTTGGGAGAATCGAAAGGTTCTGGTCCGAGAGATAAGGAGTCTTGGTGGTGGAATAATAGTGTACAGGACAAAATCAAGTATAAGAAGAACTGTTTTAAAGCCATACATTTGTGTAACAATGAGGAAAATTGGGAGAGGTACCGTATGGCTAAGAAGGAAACTAAGAAAGCTGTGGGTGAAGCTCGTTCCAAAGCTTTTGAAGAATTTTATAAGAACCTTGAGACGAAGGAAGGAGAGCAAAATATTTATAAGATTGCCAAGAGTAGGGAAAGAAAATCAAGAGATCTAGAACAGGTAAGGTGTATTAAGGATGAAGAGGGAAGAATTTTAGTTACAGATGATGAAATTAAAAATAGATGGGAGACTTATTTTTCTAAACTTTTTAATGATGGAGAGGATTCATCTAGTAACTTGGAGGATTTAGTAACTGGTGAAGGAGAACAAAATTTGTCATTCTATCGAAAAATACGTGATAAGGAGGTAAAGGAAGCTCTTAAGAAAATGGCAAATGGTAGAGCTAACGGACCTGATTGTATATCTATCGAAGCGTGGAAATGTTTAGGTGAAGAAGGGGTGAGATGGTTAACTAAGTTATTTAATGTGATTTTACGGTTCAAGAAAATGCCTGATGAGTGGAGGAGAAGTACATTAATTCCTAATTATAAAAATAAAGGAGATATTCAGAATTGTACTAACTATAGAGGGATTAAACTCATGAGCCACACAATGAAATTGTGGGAGAAAGTAATTGAGCACAGGTTGAGATTGGAGACAAGTATTTCTGAGAATCAATTTGGTTTTATGCCAGGTAGATCAACTACAGAGGCAATTTATCTACTAAGGGGATTAATGGAAAAGTATCGTTGTAAAGATAAAGATCTACACATGGTTTTTATTGATCTGGAAAAAGCTTATGACCGTATACCAAGAGAAGTGCTTTGGAAAGCGTTGGAAAAAAGGGAGTACGGATTGCTTATATTAAAGCCATACAAGATATGTATGAGGGGGTAAAAACTAGAATAAGAACGCCTAGTGGTCAAACAAAGGATTTTCCTATAAAGATTGGACTACATCAGGGATCATCTCTAAGTCCTTATTTGTTCAACTTGATTTTAAATGTTTTGACGGAACATATTCAAGAGGAAATCCCGAAATGTATGCTCTTCGCGGATGATATAGTTCTTATAGCAGAGACAAGAGAAGAGGTTAATTGCAAACTTGAGTTATGGAGGAGGACATTGGAGTCGAAAGGTTTTCGTCTGAGTAGAAGTAAGACGGAATATTTATATTGTAAATTTGATAAAGGACTATTCGAAAATAATTTGGAAGTGAAATTGGGAGATTAAATCATACCTCAAGTGGAAAAGTTTAGATATTTGGGAGCCATTATTCAAAATGATGGCGAAATCAGTGGAGATATTTCACATAGAATTCAAGCTGGGTGGTTTAATTGGAGAAAAGCTAAAGGAGTTATTTGTGACCGTAAGGTGCCTAATAAACTTAAAGGAAAGTTTTATCGTACTGCTATCAGACCGGCAATGTTATATAGTAGTGAATGCTGGGCTCTAACGGGACAGCAAGAGCATAAAGTTGGAGTAGCAGAGATGAGAATGTTACGATGGATGTGCGGACATACACGTAAAGATAAAATTCAAAATAAGCACATACGTGAAAAAGTGAGGGTGGCACCTATTGAGGAAAAAATGGTAGAAAATCGGTTGAGATGGTTTGGGCATGTACAAAGAAGACCAAGGGAGGCACCAGTGAGAAGAGTGGAACATATAACTTTGAGTCCGATTAAGAGAGGTAGAGGAAGGCCTAAGAGAACACTCTTGGAAGTTGTTGAACGTGATCTCTTAATTAATAATATTTCTAAAAGCTTAATAAATGATAGAGCACAATGGCGTCTTGCAATCCATGTAGTCGACCCCACCTAGTGGGATAGAGGCTTGTTGTTGTTGTTGTTGTTGTTTTGTTTTCTTTTTAGTTTGAAGTTGCATTACTTGGATTGATCTTGACCTAGACTCTTGATTCTTGAAAAGAGATTACCACTTTGCATTGTCTTTAAGGAAGTGATCTTGTTTTTAGCTTGAATTGAATTGGATTGGATAGCCTTGCCTATGTTGGAAGGATACTTTGAGCCTATGTAATTCCTTTCTAGTGTGCAGTTGTCCACTTATTCTAACTCATCCTCTAGAACTTCTCTCTATTCTTTTTCAAGACTACATTTGCTTTTGCATTGTGAAGATGATTAAGGCATTCATATAAAATAGCTTAGTTTAGCCAAAGGGCCAACCTTAATGATGATTGTATCCCTTGCTAACACTTTTGAGCCTACAAGTCTATATTTTTCTTTTATCATACATGATACCCTTACTTTCCCTAAGAATGCATGATATCTCGTATTGTATGGCTTGGGATCCATTGGCATATCTAGAACTCAAGTTGTGAAATTCTTATTACATGTTTATGGATGTTGTAAAAGTGCAAGTGTGAAGGCAAAGAATTGTATGCAACAACAATACAAAGAAAACCAAAAAAGAAAAAAAGAACAAAGCAAAAAAAGTACAAAAGAAAAGAAAAGAATTTCAAATTGAGCAAAAGAATAACAAGAAGGGAAAAAAATGCAATGTGAAAAAGAAAGAAAGAAAAAGAGGAACAAAGAAAATTAAAGTCATGAAAAAATTGAATGAAACAAGTTGTTGCTTGAGTCTTAAAATCACCTTGCTACCACGTGTTCTTGTAATGTATGAGTTCACTTCTTCAGACTTGCTTATGCCTTTGGAATCCATTTGTCTTGATTGGTATACACATGTTTCCCCTTCCTTTCTACATGCATTCTTACTCCTTCTTTCATACCTACATTACAACCTTGGAAAAGACCTTTTGATTCACATGTGCATTTGCTACTAGTTAGTGGAGATTTAGAACATTGACAAGCCTATGGTAGAGTGATTAGATAAGTGGACTTGAGTGAAATGATCCTATACACTTGTGAGATGAGTGTAAACACTATCCCTTGTGTGGCCATTTGGTTTGATTCATTCTTGCTAAGTTCTTGCATCATGGACTTAACCTCTTTGCTTCTTGGTAATCAAATGGATAGTTGATTGATGAAAGGTCCATGTCATTTGAGCTTGCAACTTCTGCCACTTTGTTTTCTAACTGTCATTCTTTCCTTTTTCTTTTGATTCTATTTTTGAAATGAT